TATTGAGCTTAGCTACAGGAGCAAAGTTCTCTTGATAGTCAATCCCATACATCTGAGTGTATCCTTTAGCCATAAGACAAGCTTTGTATCATTCAAGAGATCCATCAGCATTGTATTTGACATATTTGACAGTAAAGATCCACCTGCAACCAACAACATGCCTCCCGGGAGGTTTAGTCACAATATCCCGAGTATGATTCTTTTCAAGAGCTCTAATTTCCTCTTACATAGCATCCCTCCATTCTTTCTTTCCTAATGCTTCAGAAACAAAGTTGGGTATGGGAATTTCATTAAGTCTTTGAACAAACAAGGCATGTGAAAGAGAGAAGTTATCAATGGTAACAAAATTAACAATAGGGTATAGAGGTGTTTTGGTACATTGACGTACACCCTTGCGTAAAGCAATTGGCGGAGACGGTGGTGGAGAAGAAGAGACATTACCTGGGTCAGCCGATTGGTCATGCGTCAACAATGGAGTGAACCTGTTTTTCCTTGAGTACACTTTTGTCACGGGTAGAGGAGAAGGTGGGTCATTAGTGGTGGATTTAGTAGGTGTACAAAAGGGATGGTCTGGTGGTGAATTTGATTGAGGTTCAGGTGATGTTGAAGACTGTTGGGAAGTAGGTGAGGTAGCTGACACATCTAAGGAAGGTGATGGGTGATTGTGTGGTGGTGGTGATGGGATGTCTGATGATAAAGGCTTAGGAGGGTAGGAGATTGTATGTGTTGGAGAAGATGTAATAGTATAGGTGGGAATAGGTGAAGGATATGGAGTATCTTGGGATACAGGTAGAGAAGTAGGAGTGTAAAAAGGTTTGTCTTCGTGAAAGGTCACAAATGCACTGGTGTATGTCTTTCTGGTTGTAGGATTATAGCACTTATATCCTTTTTGAGTTGGAGAATAACCTAGAAAGATACACTTAATAGACCGTGGGTTCAATTTCCCCATATGTGGTGGAGGAATATGAACAAATGTAGTACACCCAAACACCCTTAGATCAAGATCAGAAGAAATTCTGGTATGAGGAAAGAAGCGATGGAGAGATTCAAGGGGTGACTTATTTTAAAGTACTCGACTGGGAAGTTTATTGATGAGATGACATGCTGTGAGTGTGGCTTCCCCCAATAGTGTTTAGGCATATTTGATTGAAACAATAATGTCCGACTAACTTCAAGGAGATGGCGATTTTTTCTTTCTACTGTGCCATTCTGTTGTGGTGTGTATGGACAAGAGGACTCATGAACAATACCTCTTGAGAGGGAATAAGAGGAAATAGTTTGATTGGAGTATTCAAGGGCATTATCAGTACGGAAGCGTTTTATAGTGGCGGAGAACTGATTATGAATCATATTGCAAAAGATGGGAATGATGGAACTCGCCTCACTCTTTTTTTAGCAGAACAACCCACATAAAACGTGTACGGTCATCAATAAATGTAACACACCACCGGGCACCAGATATATTAGTAATTGGAGCAGGGCCCAGACATCACTATGTATAATATCTGATGGAGTATATGGGTCTAGGCCCCAGGACCCACATACTCAGAAGGACAGAAAGCACGAGCCACTACGCGGTGCCCTCGTCGGCCAAAGGACCCTCGTCGGCCGAAGAGGAGCCAACTCAGAATATGATCCTGAAGCCAGGGAACCAGGGTGTCCTCATCGACCGTGCCCTCATCGGCCGTTCCCTCGTCGGCCAGACCCTCATCGGCCACGGAGGACTCGCAGAACTAGATTTTACACTTATTCATTTATACAGCCCATCAGTTACTTTGTATTCGGCCCAATAGGGGTCTAGTTGTAAATGGGCCTCCCAAGCTCAAGGCTTGGGAGCCCAGTCTGTATTTTTCCTATAAATACTTCCTCTGGAGGTAGTTATAGGGGTTACAAAATCATTCTATTGAAGCATTACTTGCACTTCTCTCTCTAGCTCTCACTTCTCTCTAGATATATATTCTATCAATATCAAAAGGACTAAAGGAGAACAACTGATTGTATTACTTTTGGAAAAAGATACACGAGATTGTTTAGCAAGTTCACAGACATCACATTGAAATGTAGAAACATCGACACTACTAAAAAGACTAGGGAATATGGTTTTTAGGACATGAAAAGAGGGATGACCGGATGACCAAGTCGCCTGTGGTGAAGCCAAATAATGTTGGTATTGGCAGTGATTGAGGTAAGAGCTTTTTGTGGAGGTTTGGAGACAAATAGTGCATCAAGGTAGTACAGGCCATCTCTTTGTTTAGCAATTCCAATCGTCCTCCCCGTGTGTAGAAAATGGCAGCACAATTAAGATCAACGGTGAGTTTGTAAATAGAAACAAGGTTCATAGCCAGGTTTGGGACATGTAGGGTGTTTTCAGATTTAATTTTTCAGAAAAAACAACTGTACCAAGTCCCACAACCTCTGTAGGTGTCCCATCAGCAGTAGTAATGTGTGTGGATGTAAAACATGGACGATAATTAGAGAGTAAGGAGGGTATAGCAGTCATATGAGATGTGGCACCTGAGTCTAATATCCATTGGGATTGTAAACTCTATTGCGAAGCATTAAGACAAAAAATAGTAGAGGTTTTACCTTGCAAGGCCAAAGAGCTATGACCAAAACCATTTGAGTTATTAAGAGATTGTAGCATCATACGAAGTTGTTGTATTTCCTCTTGGGAAATGGGCGAGAGATTAGTAGAGCTCTCAACAATAGGGCGAGTGACTGAGTTAGCACTTCCAAGACTAGTTCCATGTCTGTCCTGGCCTTTTCTTTCTTTCTGTAGATGAGGATAAAGTTTCCAGCATCTATCCACATTATGGTTAGACCGCTTGCAATGATCACACCATCTTCCTCCCTTACTACCCTTAGTTTCCTTAACATCCGAAGGAGTAGATTTGGCAGCAAGGGTCGTACTGTCAATCAGCTTTGTATTCATCATTATATTACGTCTACTCTCTTCATGTTTGATAGTAGCAATGGCAGAAGATAGGGAAGGCAGAGGAGTAACACCAAGTATTTGAGCCCGAGTCTGATCATATTCGGGATTTAAACCAGACAAGAAGCAATATAGACGTTGATTTATATAGTTCTTGTGAAGAGCAGCATTCGACCATTTCATTGTTTGATACTAATCAAGTTCATACCATCGTCGTTAGAGGTCAGTTGCATATTCTGCGACAGATTGTGAATCTTGCTTAAGATTCGTTGTTTGGAGACATAAGTCATAGACAAAAGCGCCATCTTTAGCAACGGAGTAGGACTGTTGAATGAAATCCCATATTTCTTTAGCCTAGTCCATGTATAAACATGCACTGCTAATGTTGGGATCCATGGAGTCCCATAACCAAACCCGTATGTTGGCATTAGTTTTCTCCCAAACAGCAGCATCAATATCTCATTCTGGTGTAGAGACAGTGAGATAATCTTCAAGATCTTTGCCACGTAGGAGAGTGTAAACCAGCTTTGACCATCCAAGATAGTTCCTGCCATTGAGACAGTAAGATGGCGGGATAGAAGGTAGATCAAATTTCTAGTTTCGAAGAGCAAACGCGGCTGCAGTAGCAGCTGAAACGATGGTTGAGTGGTCAAGGTGACTTGATGTTGATTCAGTTTCCTTAGACATGATAGAACTATTGGTGAAGAGATGTGCACCAGAAGATTAAATAGAGAGGCGGGTAGAGACACCCTAGTAGACTATTGGAAAGATGATTAACAGTAAAGAGGTTGATACAAGATCGTGCTCTGATACCATTAAGTTTTCTGTATATTATTATTCTTCAATGCAGCATTTACAAGAAGTACAAACCAATATATACAGGTAGAAGCGTGAGAGAGTCTATTCAGTACCCTTAGGTGACTATCTAAATACTAAACATAAATGCTTATAAACTGAAAAGACAGCAGCTATTAATTACAACCTGAAGCATAATTACAGTAATAATGAGGAAAATAAATCCTTGATTAATGATGTCTCTTCGTTTTATCAACAGAACTTGGATGTATTTTCGTCAAGTTGCATCGAATTCATTTCGTTAGAAGGAAGTGGCCGTCGACTCACATAATTCGGAAGATGCGATGTAGCCGAATGCGAACTGCGAGGGGCGGTTTGCGACCAAACCTGCGCACTCGGATGCTTGGCTAGCGATTGTAAAGTGGAGACTTCCGATTGCGATACAGTATGCGAATTAAGAGAAGGCTTTCGCATTTGCGAACTATGAGGTACGACAAACGAAGTGAGAAACAACGAGGATTGCGAAGACATTTGCGGACGATTGTGAGAGATGTCTCGCGATGATGAACGGTGGGAAACTCGCGATGATGAATTGTGGGAAACTGCTACCGACGAAGATTGCAAACTGAAAGAAGTTATTGGCAACCGCGATCGCCCTCTGGTCTGGTGGTGTTCGGTCATCGCTGCTAGCTTTCTGGTGAGGGTTTCCGCCATCGTTCTTATGTCTGTTAAGTTCTTCTCCAGCGAATCCACCCTATTCTCCAGCGAATCCATCCTCTTCTCCATTCTTGCTCTGATACCAATGATAGAACACTAGAATTCTCTAACTCACAACAGTATAAAATCAGTAGAAATGAACAAGAACAGATCGAAACACTTTATTCACAAAGATGAACAGATCAAGAAGGGATACAATACAATGGACCATTTGAGATGCCCAATCTCCAAGCCTAGCCAAATCCAACTGAATACTTGCCTACCTATTTTCCTCCCCTCCCCTTTTATTTATACTACTACATCTACACTTACTATTATTATTTCTTATTATTAGCATACTAAGCCAGATTCCTATCAGAGTCTTAGCCACTTGTCTATGTTTCCCATCATCCAAAAAGAATTAGCAAGTCCAAAATTAAAAAGATGGTTGAAATATCTTATATATGGTTTGCAGCAATGTCTTTTACATGACAGCGATGGAACTGAGATAAGAAGTAGAAAATACAGAATAGCAAGTCCAAAATTAAAAAGAAGAGGTATGAAGAGGTTAACTTACAAAAGATGGTAGATCGTTGGAGTCACCATTTTTTATTATCTCAGAAATCCATTGTATGATCTGCCAATCGAAATATGAAGCGGTTCACGGTGAGAAAATTTGGATATAAGAGATTGTGAAGAGAAACATGTCATATTCCCTTGACCCTATCTATCCCAAGTGGCTACGTGAGTTACACCAAAAAACTTTTGAAAAGTCAAAAACTTGGGTACTATATTTCCTTTTCTTAGATTACAAATATTACTCTAGATATTTAATAGTGTGATAGAGAAAGACAATCTAGTAGGAGGAGTAGAACAATATCTTTATAGTGTAGTTCATTAGTTCAACAGTTTCAAGCTTACGCTCAGATTTATTCTTGTGACGATGTGCTAGATTAACATGCTAAAGATATATCTAGCAGTTTCCTTGTATAAACCCAATAGCTTCAGATCACAAACAAATAATATTCTTTTAGATTCCAAACCAATCAATGCAGCAGGTTGCTTTAAGAAATACAATTCACTAGGCTAGAGGTTCTCACCTCTGGAATTTTAAGTGGACCACTGTATGTTGCCACAAGTTGGGATGCAGGATCAGTATCAGCAGCAAACAATGCTTCATAACTGTTTTTGGGTGTATCATCATTCTTTTCGTCAGTAGAATTCCTCGAATAACGAACAATAAACAACTTCGAGACATCTGTTATGTCATATCTAGGTCCACATGTCTCATAACTACTTTCCGAATTGACATAGAAGAAGCAGTATCTCTGTCATTCCAGCATATGACCAATTAGAATTACTCTGTAATATATTGCATTTGCATATGGAGGTTTAAGCACATAGTACTAATAAAAACATCCAATAAAAGAATATATACATATATAAACTCAAAAAAATAATTATCTGAGTACTTTTTGTTGCTCTCCATCTAGCCAGGTAAACGTCAACCGTTTTTCTTTCAGAGCAAGTTCTGCTATAGCTGAGAAAGAATCTTGATCAACTGTATTCCACTCTCCATTTGAAAGTGTTCCTTGCACCCTCCGCATGGTCTATTAACATAGGCTAGGTGGTTAGATTACTTTCTGGAATAATGTATTATGACTTCATTTAAATATGAATATATCCACAGCTTCAGCTACTTGTAAATATAAAACAGATTTCGTAAGAATATTTCCTGTGAAAGACATTTCTTTATATTTCAAATATTAAGCTCTTGAATTCAAGGTTAGTAGGCCATAGAAGTAACCAAAAAATATCACAGCAGAGATCATGCCCCAAGCAAACACTGCTCCTGTGCCAAATAACCAAACAGGGCCTGATTTTTTAAGATGACATGGAGATGCTTACTTCACGCATTTCATTAAGTTCTTGGCTTTGCCTTCCAGCTAAAACAACACAGTACCAAACCTTGGTGTCATTTCCAGCACGTGAAAAGCCTCGAGCATCACAGCCCAACTCCATTGAAGTGACACTTCTTAATTGGGGCAGCACTGTATACTCAAGAAGCAGTTAATAAATAGTGTCATTCAACATGTGTATTTAATTGAAGAAGGCTATACAAACCAATTTTCTAAGGATAGCCACAATTTCCATTAGGAAAGCATGTGACTAGGACACTGGGTGACATTTAATTGCATGAAAAAAGACACAAGTTCTTCACACACACATATATATAGACACACAAACATAATATAATCCAGTTAAAATAAAATGTAATTCATAGATGAAAATGAGAACAAATGTTGATCAGTGATGTAAAAAAAAAAGATGAGCGAGATCAATTTTAAGTCCAAAATGCAGTAGCGTTATTGTAAATACGAAGAACTTTTAACGAAAAATATGATGACAATGCGCTGTATGTAAAAAGTGCATTTGTACATTACACGGTATGAGATAAAATGTATATATATGCATATACATATATGTATATATAGGGTCTGGTTCCAATAAAAAGTAGTCTTCCTGTACAAACTACAAAGTGTGAGCATCTGAGGTGCACTATTGCCTGAACGATCCAACTATTCAAGATCCAACTATTCAAGTCATTCAACTACAGGTAAAATATTCACGTGTTCTTATCCTGTTTTGATTCATTTATTTCAGATTTTAGATTTTTTACTGATTTTATTTGTAATTTTTTGTCTTAAGGTTGATTTTTGGTATTGTATTGATTTAATATAAGGCTTATTTTTTGTGATTTGCATTGGGTCTCCTAATCTATTGACCGGCCCTGTTGCATTGAGAAGTTTTCCGCCATCCACTTTTAATCATTTACGGTACACTCTTGCACACATGAAGTCCACTTTTTGCAAAGAAGAAAAACTTATTTACAAAAATGTCACCGCGTTTCTTATCCATTTTAAAGCATTTTTGAAATATTCAAAGCCATTAGATCTTAGATCTAATACACCAGACGAATAAAAAACTAAACAATAATATAGCGAATGTTAAGTGTTAAGTAACTTGACAAAAATCATGAAATCACAACAAAAATCGCATTCATATATAATTATATAAAAAGAGAATTCGGTTGATAAATAAATAAGCACATTAATAAACATATATAGAATAAATAAACACACACGCATACATAAAAAATGAATAATTGCATAAATAAATACATAAATAAATGATGGGTGAGTGGGTGGGTGGGTGGGTGGGTGGATGGAGGGATAAATGGATAGATCGAGGGATAGAATGATAGATAGATCGAGGGATTGATAGATGGATAGAGAGATAGGTAGGTAGATTAGGTAGGGTGGGTGGTCGGACGGAGGGATGGGTGGATGGATATATTTAAAGGCAACAATATAGAAATTACCAACATAACATAATTACTAAAATCTTTTTCAAATGAACCTAATGCTAAAGGGACTAATATAATACCTTGATGTTTATTCTTCTCCATAATATCTAGAAACATTGAACTATTGATATAGCCTGCAATCATAGTATGTCTTAGTATTATCATACATGATCACAACATTAGAACTTTAGGGATTAATAAGCAGGCCATTGAATGTAATAGAAAGGAACTTGCCATGGTAAACGATGGGCCGAACCCCGGTTTCTTTCAGAAAAACCAAGGCAGGAGCTGACTCTACACCAAACCTATTATTAGACAAAGAGAGTCACCTGAGTATCCTACTACATTTCTTTACAGGCTTCATAGCAACAAATGCTTTATTTCCAACTTTTACATTTGTTATTTCTCAATTTTGTATTCCCTTTTTTCTGGGCAACTCCAAATAAAAGAAACTTAAGATATTATTCGCTTCAAGGTTAAGAGTAACAATAACTAGCAGATAAAATATAAGAAAGTTTAATCGGATGGATCTACATACATATTCAACCATAAAGAAGATTCTCTTTCCTGCCAAAATACAAATGCAAAATCAGCAAAAGCTGAGTAGCTTTTAGCTGCTTGGCGAATAAATGGGGAAGCACGTTCTCCTGTCTTTGAGAAGAAGATGACCTTGACCTGTGAGCAGAACATAATAGAAGAAACTCAGGGAGTGTGCAGCACTGGAATAATAATAGTAGAATGAAAATATTATGACAAAGTGTATAGGAGAAGAAGTAAAAAGCAGATAACTAACTAAATAAGGTGGTCCCGTACGGGAGAGGGAATATATGAGTGGGAATGGGAGGAAAGTGATAGAGAATGACTATACACGAAAATAAGGATAAACGCTTTGGCCAAGTGTATTCTACAAGAAGGGGAAAGAAGACTAGTTAGTTAGTAGTTAATTCTGTTACTAGCTATTAACTAAGAGTCGGTTATAGGTGGAAGGAAATTAATAAACTAGTCTGGGAAGGTAGAGGTAGGCTGTTTGACTTTTTAGTCTCGACTGGGAAGATTGAGATTAATCATCTTTCTCTTTGGGAATGGCTGTAATCGGTTGGTTCACCATTAATAAAGCTCCAGCAGTTTTCTTGAATTCTTGTTCTACTTTTCTGTAAATTTCTAAATATCTTGAATAGTAGTTCTATAAGTGGTATCAGAGCACGTCAATCTGTGGATGATCTTTACACGTGCGAAAATGGAAGGAAGATTAACGAACTCGAGCGACATCAACAAGAAACAGCGGCAACTAATGCGGCGACCTTAGCTGGGTTACGAACAAGCATCGCGAATATAGAGAAGAGGATACAGAATCGTTCACAAAGTAGGTCGCATCGCATCGCACTTCACACCATCATCATTCGTGACATTCAGCAAGTCTTGATGATTCGGAAGGAAATTCCGAGTATTCACCACCACATCGCAATTGCAGACACCACAGGGAGCATAACAATCATCATCGAACAGGAAGGAAAATCGATATGCCGCTGTTCAACGGTGATGATGCCTACGGCTGGTTAGTAAGAATTGATCGCTATTTCCGGCTCAACCATAGAGAGGAAGAAGAGAAGATAAATGTGGTTGTGGTAGCTATGGAGGACAGAGAGCTTAGCTGGTTCCAATGGTGGGAGAATCAGGTGCGTGAGCAGAATTGGGAAACATTGAAGGAGGCTTTAACTCGTCGTTTCCAACCTGAACTGGTTCAGAACCCATTGCACCCTCTATTAGGTCTGAAACAGAAGGGCACTGTGAAGGAGTTCAAAGAACAGTTCGAAATGACCATTGCTTCACATAAAGATCTGAGTAGGAAGGTGACGTAGGAAATCTTCTTGAATGGATTGAAGGAAGACATTAGAGCTGAATTAAAGCTCTATAATGCAAGGGATTTGGCTGAGACCATGGACACAACATTGTTGATTGAGAACAAAAACAATAAAATTATGTCCGGGAGACGTAAGGAAGAAGAGAGGAGAAATTGGAAGAATAATCTGACAAGGGGACAGAGTTATAACAAATGGGGAGATGGAAGTAGAGGAAGTTTGAGCCAGACATCTACAAATCATTCTGGGAAGAATTCAGTTGATAACAAGAAGGTGGAGGAATTGTCCACCTCTATTCACAAGAAGATAAGCCCCAGATTATCACAGAATGAATTGCAAGAGAGAAGTAGGGAGGGGTTATGTTTCAAATGTGGTGAAAACTGGAATCGAGGTCATATTTGCAGAATGAAAAACTTCAAAATGGTGCTTGTAGAACAGTCTGAAGGGGAGGAAGAATCAGAGGCTGCCTCTGGTGAATCTGAAGAAGGAGAAGGGGTTCATATGGAATCCAAAACTATGCAGTTATCTGTCCTAAACAAAAAAGGAATACCTTCCATAAAAACTTTCAAGGTGAAAGGGAGACTGAAATGGCCAGCAAGTGAACAACCGGTGAATATTTTGATTGACAGTGGTACTACCCACAACTTCATATCCCAGAAACTTGTAGAAAGATGGAAAATACCTTTCAAGTGTATCAAGGGATATAAAGTACAAATAGGGAATGGAGAATTGATTCCCAACAGTGGCAGGTGTGAAGGAATGATACTAAATGTGCAAGGAAATGAAATTCAACAAAATTTCTATAATTTGGAGTTGGGTGGGGCTGATGTAGTGTTGGGGATGGAGTGGTTAACTGGTCTAGGAGATATGGAAGTTAACTTTCTAAATCAGACCATAAAATGGAGAAAACAGGAGCAAAATCATATTATTAATGGTGATGCTGCACTGAGTAATATGGAAGTATCTCTGAAGACTGACTCACATCTTACAACAAACAGGAGATGGATATTTGTTGTACTGTGAAGGTCAAAGTATTGAACAGAAGCAGAACAAGATACATGATGGGGTGTGGAATGAAATAGTGAAGGAATATCCTGAGGTTTTCAAATCTAACCTGGATCTGTCACCTGTCAGGCCCTGTGATCATGCTATCAATATCATAGATGGAGCCAGCATACCTAACATCAGACCTTACAGGTATTCCTATGACCAAAAGAATGAAATTGAGAAAATTATTCAAGAAATGCTCAAATCTGGAATTATAAAGCATAGTAACAGCCCCTATAGCAGTCCAGTATTATTAGCTAAGAAGAAAGATGGTGGTTGGAAGTTTTGTGGATATTATAGAGCATTGAATAAGATAACCTGACAAATTCCCTATACCCGTGATTGAAGAACTCTTAGATGAGTTAGGAGGGTCTAAGGTGTTCTCAAAACTGGATTTAAAGTCTGGGTATCACCAGATTAGAATGAAAGAGGAGGATGCACACAAAACTGCCTTCAGGACTCACGAAGGGCATTATGAGTATGTGGTTATGCCTTTTGGATTGACAAATGCACCTTCAACTTTCCAAGTATTGATGAATGAAGTCTTGAGACCTTTTTGAAGGAAGTTTGCTCTAGTGTTTTTCGATGACATTCTGATTTATAGTAAATCAAAAAAAGAACATGTAGCTAACCAGAAAAAGTGCTCCTTGGGCCAGACACAATTGACATATTTGGGCCATATTAAGAAAGGTACTGCAAGCCTTAAAGGAGAACCACTTGGTAGCTAACCAGAAAAAGTGCTCCTTGGGCCAGACACAATTCACATATTTGGGCCATATTATTTCAGAAAAGGGAGTATCTGCAAACCCTAGCAAGATAGAGGCCATGATCAGTTGGGCAGAACCCAAAAATCTAAAAGGGCTGAGGGGATTTCTTGGTTTAACAGGGTATTACAGAGGGTTTGTGAAGGGTTACAGCAGGATTGCAGCACCCTTAACACAATTACTGAAGAAGGACAATTTTCAATGGGGTAGTGAGGCTAGCTTGGCTTTTGCAGAATTAAAACAAGCAATGACATCACTACCAGTCCTAGTCAACCCAGATTTCAATAAAGACTTCATTATTGAAACTGATGCTTCTGGGAAAGGGTTAGGGGCTGTACTAATGCAGGAAGGGAGACCCATTGCATATATGAGTAAAGAGCTGCCTGTCAAGCATCAGGCTAAGTCTGTTTATGAGAAGGATTTGATGACCATATTATTAGCAATATAGAAATGGAGACCGTACTTATTGGGGAGAAAGTTTGAGGTACATACTGACCAAAGAAGTCTAAAATACCTAACAGCTTAGTTTTAAAAGGCGTGAGGCGACATGAGGCGATTCATCGATTTACTCGAGGCGTGAGGCGCAAGGCGACGAGGCACGCGCCTCACTGATCGAAACCATATATCTTTGGTAAAATATATTTGTACAACTTCTACATGAAGCACTCTTCTAAAAAATACTTCTATTAATAGTAAATATATTTACAATAAACTGTTAGTACTTAATTCAAATCCTAAGCAATTAATAGTAAATTTTTAAAAAACCTTTTATATAATGATTATTAATAACAACCAGCTCTCATATATAATTGACTAATTATTATATAATAAACTTATAAAGTATCAAGAGTATAAAGTTAAACAATCAGATTGACAGATTCGATAAATCATATTTATTATTTCTAAAAATTGATAAAATTCGGATTGGGATTAGGGTTTAGGGAAGATTGTTATATGGTTATATAATTACATAATTTGAATTATTTTATTTATTTTAAAAATAATAGTGTAAAGAATACAAAGACTAGCGGAAGAAAGAAAACAAAGAGAATGGAAGAAAGAAACTTACGCAGCCGAACAAAAAGAAACAAAGAGAACGGCCGGAAAAAAAACATAAAAATGGCAATCTGCGACAGAGGAGCAGAAGGTTTGAGACTTTGAGTTGATGGAGTGAAGTAACCTTACCTTACATACATATATTACCCTACGAAAATTCTGGAAATCAAGAGGGATGAATCGCCAAAAGGCTTGAAGGAAGTTTAGCGGACATATTCCATAAGGCGTGAAAGGCAACGCTTCAAAGAGGCGCAAAAGGCGGCACTAGGCGAGGTAAAAGGCTCGCCTTATGGAATCTGCTGCGCCTGGGATGTTTGGATGCGATGAAGTCATCGCCTAGAGGCGCCTCGCGCCTTTGCGCGTCTCAGGCGCGCTTTTTAAAACCAAGCCTAACAGAACAGAAAATTATGGGAGAAGAACAACAGAAATGGATATCTAAATTGTTAGGCTATAATTTCACTATTAAGTACAAGCCAGGCTTGGAAAATAAAGCAGCAGATGCTCTGTCCAGAAAATTACATCTCAATTCACTTTCAGATCCTAAGTGTTATGACACCACTCAGAGGATACTCAGTCATCCTGATCAAATGCCTGAGTTTAAATTGAAGAAAGGGCTATTGTACTTTAAAGGGAGGTTGATGATACCTAAAGATTCTCCCAGAATCACTAGGATCCTTAAGGAGTATCCTGACTCTGAAACAGGGGGACATTCTGGAAACTTCAGAACCATGAAAAGAATATCATCACTATTCTATTGGATAGGTATGAGAAAGGACATCCAGCAGTATGTACAAACTTGTGAAGTTTGCCAAAGGAACAAGTATCAGGCCTTAAAAGCAAATATGGACTGATATTAGCATGGACTTCATTGGTGGATTACCTAAAGCAAAACGAAAAGCCACTATCTTGGTGGTTGTTGATAGGTTAACTAAATTTGCACATTTTATAG